GTGAATTTGTTTTGTACATTAATTCCTATTCAGAACAGTTGAACATGTGTTTTAACATTTTATATTTGGACTGAGGTGAATAAGAACAGCTAGCAAAAGTATATCATCTTTAAAAGTGATTCTGCTAATATTTTCATACCCAATGTTACAAAATGACAGTATGATTCCAATTTTAAAATGTATTTATTACAGAGAGCTTTAGATATTTCTACACCAAAACATATACCAACAAAAGAACATTTATTTGGAATCCAAGCTAATCTATTACCAGGTTATATTCCTATCAGAGTGGCTTCCAAGATTCTGTTTGTTGGTGAATCCGTACAGATGTTTGAAAATGAAAAACAGACGTCAAAAAATTACTCCTCAGGTATAATATGGAATCATTCTGTTTAATATCAGAAAGTTTAGAATCGTAAAAACTAAAGCCTGCATCAGTTAAAAAAAAAGCAGAAAGATCTATTTTTTTTTATTTCACTTAGTGCTGGAACTTGGGCCAAACCTCATGGTTTTTCGTAGATTATTTGCACATATATATCACAAAACATTACAAGTAAGATTGCATTTAAATTAAACAGTTTTGGGTTGTTTTGATTGAAACACATTAAGTTAGATTGCTCTCATAACTAATATTTAAAGTGGAGTTGTCCATAAAAAAAATAATAGATGTACCAATGAAATCATCTCATCAGCTTATTTCCAATTCTAGAACCAATATTAAAGAACAGAATAGATGAGTTTACTAAAGATCTTCATGAACTGTCCAAGAGAGAGGAATTTAATCTGATGGCATTTGAAAAGATTATAGATAAAATAAGAACCTATGTAGCAGAGGTATTTAACAATTAATATTACTATAGCCACTACTGTTGAATTTTAGCTCACATCCAGTACAACCAAATTAAGTATTAACTCCCATCCAGTACCACCAAATTGAGTATGAGCTCCCATCCAGTACACCAAATTGAATATTAACTCCCATCCAGTACCAACAAATTGAGTATGAGTTCCCATCCAGTACCACCAAATTGAGTATGAGCTCCCATCCAGTACACCAAATTGAGTATTAACTCCCATCCAGTACCAACAAATTGAGTATAAATTCCCATCCAGTACCAACAAATTGAGTATTAACTCCCATCCAGTACCAGTAAATTGAGTATTGGCTCCCATCCAGTACCAGTAAATTGAGTATTAACTCCCATCCAGTACCAGTAAATTGAGTATGGGCTCCCATCCAGTACCACCAAATTAAGTATGAGCTCCCATCCAGTACCAGTAAATTTAGTATGAGCTCTCATCCAGTACCAGTAAATTTAGTATGAGCTCCCATCCAGTACCAGTAAATTTAGTATGAACTCCCATCCAGTACCAGTAAATTTAGTATGAGCTCCCATCCAGTACCAGAAAATTTAGTATGAGCTCTCATCCAGTACCACCAAATTGACATTGATTTTGATTTGGTTCCTTTTCAGCATCTGTGGGTATTAATAGTAGAAGAATCTGACTTGAGGAACCAGTTGAAGATTATTAAAGATTTCTTTCTTTTGGGCCGTGGTGAACTGTACCTAGCTTTTATAGACCAAGCTCAACATTTACTATCATCTACTGCTACTTCTACCACACAACATGGTAGGTGGTGGAACTCTGTTAGAATGTGTTGGGCCCTTTGATAACTTATCTTCAGGTTCTCACAGGCTTGAATAGTTCCTTCTGAGTGTCTGAAACTTAGTAACTGATCATGAGCATGTACATGTAGTACCAGTATATAGTAATTGTAGATAGATCTCTTACTTTTCTAAAACATTGTCAACCATATTCAAGATTGGTCTTATCATTGGTCAAAACAGTCCCTTTGCATTGATGTAGGAAGATTTAGAAAATAACCTAAAGAACTGTGGAATAACTGTCTCAAAATTGTTCTATTTATTTTAGATATTAATTTGGCATTTCAACAAGCCTCTAGAAATGTTCTGATGCAAGATGAGTCTCTACTACAGACCTTTACTTTAACCATTACATTAAGTAAGTAAACACTATTATGCTTTCATTAGTCCAACAAGGTGCTAAAAAGATGTAAACACATTGATCTTTTTGGTTCAGAATAGAAAAGCTCCCATTTTTCAGTTACAGCCAATAGCTGCATTTGTCAACTAGTTTATGACAGGTAATAATGTTCCATTATGTTGAAGAATATTTTAAATTGTTACCTACTGAAAGCATAAAACAATTTTTTTAATCGACCCTGAAGGTGTCTAACAAAAGCCTTTATTTTGCCTAGACTCCAGACTGTTTTTGTTTCAGAGAGTGGTTCAACTGAATCAAGTTCTGCTGTAGAATCAGGATGGAACTGTTTAGGATTACAACATTCTGTTCAGTGGCCATTACACATTCTATTTACACCAGCTATGTTAGAAAGGTAGTGTTTCAGGCATAAAAATTCATCGAATTCGAGGAGAATCCTGATGGACTCTCACACAGGCAGTCTGTGATAGTCCTCCAGATGCTGTACTAAAAATATTGTATACAATGCCCCCAAACTATACTGTCAATTTGATCTCATGCCTATATCATGAAGTATAATCTGTATAGAGAACAATGTTCAAATGTCAATATATTTTCATACTCTTATATATAAATATTATTTTCTAGATATGACCGAGTGTTTCGCTTTCTATTAGCTGTAAAACGAGCCCAGTTAGATATACAATCATGTTGGACACTACAGATGGTTCATAAAGAAAAACCTACACAGAAAGAGGAAATGGCTAAATTACAACTACGTACTCACATGGGTTTCCTGGTTGATAATTTACAATATTACTTACAGGTCAGTTACTGTTCATTTTGACATTATTAACTTGATTATACTGTATTTGTTTGTTAATAAATTTCTAATTATGCCAAAAAGCACAACACCGTTACTCTGTTAGTTTACCCTTTTTTAATGCAAATACAGCTTTATACTGACATTTGTGACTGCAATATCTGTTGTAGTATATGAGCCTAATATTGCTTTTGAGGAACACAATATAGGATGAATTAAGGCATCAAAGAAGTAAATGCTTCATTTTGTTAAAACTGTCAGTTTAAACTATTTTATTTTCTATTTTCAGGTAGATGTTATAGAATCTCAGTATGGTATATTATTAGATAAAATAAACTCTACTAGAGATTTTGAGGCTGTGAAAGTAGCCCATGAGAATTTCCTATCCGCTTTATTAGCTCAGAGTTTTGTTCATATGAAATCTGTAAGTAATTATTATCTGTATAACATTTTCAAAAAACTAGGAAATATGTTCAACAAATAGTAGACCATTCCTTGGAATATGTACCAGAGTTCAAAGATGTCTTGTGTTCTTAGAAGCAGGCAATAATATAACAGAGAGAACTCTTTTGAATGTATGCCAGAATTTTTAAACTGGTGCCTGGTGATTCTATAAACTGGCAAGAGGTGATTGGTGCCTTGTGTTTTTGTATAAGGTTACTATAATATATCATTAAACAACTCTTTAGTATATTCAGTTTGCTAAACTGTACAGTGCATGTGGATGCTTAGTGCACAACAAAATACATCAATTTCTATATTTATTTATTTGATATCTCTAGGTGTCCCATTGTCTACGAGAGATATTAGATCAATGCACTTCTTACTGTAGATTAATACATAATTCATCTACTCCATTATTACCACAACAACTACAACAGTTGACAGATATAGCCCAGGTTAGTTTACATTTACTTTATTACAACAAATTACAACAGTTGACAGATATAGCACAGGTAAGTTTACATTTACTTTATTACAACAACTACAACAGGTGACAGATATAGCACAGGTTAGTTTACATTTACTTTATTACAACAACTACAACAGTTGACAGATATAGCACAGGTTAGTTTACATTTACTTTATTACAACAACTACAACAGTTGACAGATATAGCACAGGTTAGTTTACATTTACTTTATTACAACAACTACAACAGTTGACAGATATAGCACAGGTTAGTTTACATTTACTTTATTACAACAACTACAACAGTTGACAGATATAGCACAGGTTAGTTTACATTTACTTTATTACAACAACTACAACAGTTGACAGATATAGCACAGGTTAGTTTACATTTACTTTATTACAACAACTACAACAGTTGACAGATATAGCACAGGTTAGTTTACAGTTACTTTATTACAACAACTTCAACAGTTGACAGATATAGCACAGGTAAGTTTACATTTACTTTATTACAACAACTACAACAGGTGACAGATATAGCACAGGTTAGTTTACATTTACTTTATTACAACAACTACAACAGTTGACAGATATAGCACAGGTTAGTTTACATTTAC